CACTTTCGCCACCTTCTCATGCCATCGCGAGCTCTGGAAGGTTACGAGTGAATGTGCGCACGATAGTCATTTTCCCGCTTTGTCGAGTCGACGGTACATCGCTTGAACCGCTGATACATCGTTCAATCTGCTGACGCATCCTTTGTACCCATGATTCGCTGGATTTGCAGAACCTGACTTCAGCGATGGAAGCATCCAAAGTTGGCGGAAACAACCCTGCGATTCTCCCATTTTCCCTATCGATATTATCTACTATCCTCTTCCACCATGTTGGACGTTCCCGTTCCGCTTTTCTTCCGCCGCTCTCGATGGACTCATATACCATTTTTTCCAAGACTCTGAGTTTTCTCCTACTCGACAGTTCTATCGGCAGCGTCAAATGTGCATCCTTCTTGAAGACCTACAGCTTTTTCCAGATGATCCCGTGATGATTACGTGCATATTGCTCTTGTCTCACCAAGTGAAAAATTCGCGAATCTCGAACGCAATTCGGCTTGAGTTCACTAGGTAGCAAGAAATCACAGCGCGACGACGGCACTAACAGTTCATGGTTTTCGTGTGGAGACACGCTACAGTATCTCGCGGCAAAAGCAAGTGTACCGTGAAGACGCGCACAAATGGCGTGTCTGGAAATGTCTGGTCCATTTACTCCCAAAAAGACAGTTGCTGTATTCTCCAACATGTCGTAAAGCGTAACGGTGCCGTACACGCCCATATGAATGCATTGTTCCGTTCTAGCGTTTCGTGCACAACCGCTGTGCCTATGTTTTCGCTGCGGATGGAGTGGGTGAAAGGTACTGAGTAGGTTTTGGTCCGATCAACTCTGCCTTCTGTTTTTCAGAACGAACGGCGATTTTCCTCTTCTGGACCATTTTGTATTCTTTCCTTTTCGCGGATTCTCTGATTCTAACCCCTAGATTTCAATGCTTGGTTAAATAATTCAAGCTCTAAATAAAGTTACAATCACGATAAATCGCAGTGTCGACGCGCTGTGCCCTTTTCTAATTTGGTTTTATACGATATATTAATTTTGGACGAACCCTCATTAAGGAGACGTTCAACGTGTTGAAAGTTATCCACAAACATTTCTAGATCTTTTTTCTCCTTGACAAGATCTGCTAGATACTCCAGCGAACAATCCATGTGTGAAGCGCCATCAGGCGAGCCGGATGCAAAGGAAGGCGACTCTTAAAACTTCCGACTAGTTTCCTGATATTCGCAACATTTAAAACAAGTCAATATTCTTAATACGTCCCCACTTCCCAACCAGCGAGTTGGTTGTGTAAACTATTTCCATTCCTCCAAGGTCTGTTTACCCATGCGAGTTAAAATCGAAAAAAAATAAAAATGAAACCTTATAAATAGAAAAACCAGAAGTCATGAAGCTCATACTCAAAAATGGTTCTAAAAAATTTGGGTACTATTTCCAGGTTCGCTAGGACTCAAAGCGACGTTCTCGCTTTTCGCAGCGTGAAGCTCTTTTCACTGCAGGAATTCCAGGTACAATAATGATCGAGATGGAATTTGGGGGTTTCCGCAAAGAAATAAGCTTTGCGCTGCAAAAAGCGTAAAAGTCGCGCACTGTCCTAGCGAGCCACATCCATTTCATTATTACTACTCCAAAATCTTAAATTTTTTCCCGCTGAAACTTGGTTCATGGGAATTATTTGGTGCCCTGATTACAAATGTGATATTCAATTCAAGCGCTGGCGCCAGTTGGCTCCACTTTGTCACGACAGCTGTTTTCACCATATCTGTGCAACACTAGTATATAGGGATACCCGGTATCCTTGTGACAATAAAACATTTGTTTTTGCTGTTAGCGCTGCTTAGCGTATATTTCTGCTTTTGGGGTTCTCAACTACACTGCCTAAGGCAGATTCCAGGGTAGACAATCGAAAGGCAATAGCTGATGTCACCTCGGAGGGGTGTGGTTCACTAGGACAGAAAGCGACTTTTTCGCGTTTCGCAGCGCGAAACATTTTCGCTGCGGGAACCTCAGGTCCACCGCTGATCATCAGTGGACCCGAGGTTCCCGCAGCGAAAAATGTTTCGCGCTGCGAAACGCGAAAAAGTCGCTTTCTGTCCTAGTGAACTACACTCCCTCAGAGGCCTCCTTTCCCCAAAGACAGCCCTGAATGTTATATTTGGTGACAGCCCAGGAAGGCACGAAAGATGCGAGGCTGGTGTCAGAGTCCGCGATCCGTCGCAGGTTTCGCTGATTTTCGCGATTTTCGCGATTTGCGCGATTCACGCGATTCACGCGACGGGTCACGGAAATCACAAGTGCCCGATCAATACTGCAAGGTGTTCTCCAATCCTGCCGCCACTTCTGCTTGATAGTGATGGCTGAATGACGACTGCTCATGATTCCACTTGTTTCATATTCAGTGTTTCAAATGTTCAAATGGGCACTTGCAATTTTTGCGATCCGTCGCAGGTTTCGCGCAAATCGCGAAAATCAGCGAAACCTGCGACGGATCGCGGACTCTGACACCAGCCTCAAATAGCATCAATCCCAAAACGAATGTCAGATTCGTAAACAGGACACCAAAGAACTCGTCTATACATAATTACAGCGAATTTGTTGAAATCAACCGTCGTGACATAGCGGCGCCACTTGACACCAGCGCGAAAAACGGTCGTAACTTCCGCAATCAGGGCATCAACTTACCAGGCTCCGCCTTTTCACTCTTTAAGGCGTGGCTGCAGCGAGCGCGGACAAGACGGCAGTGCTCTTGCTGTTGCGAGCGGCTGCGTCGTAGTGAAATAGTGCCAAATGTTGTTTAGGCAGCAGTGGTAACAATACAAACTGCGGAATCGTAAGCGCTGAGGTAGCACCGCCAGGACAGAGGGCGACATACTTACTTCCACCAGCGCGGAACGTTTTCCCTGCGGAAGCCCAGCTCCACCCAGATCATTAGTGGACTTCAAGTACCGCAGTGAAAGTTTCGCGCTGCGGAAAGCGAAAAAGCCGCTCTCGGTGAAACTCGGGTTCGGAGAAGGGGGGTACGCGATGCGACGAGCGATGTTTTTGTCTGCTTTACTCCAAGTCCTAAAGTCCACCTATGTCCCTATTCTGAAACCTGCACTTAATGGCGGAAAGAGAAACTCCGGTGATCAATGTAAGCGCCCTAATAGACCAGACGAACAGAGCGCCTCGTTCAGCCCCCCCCCCGAAACCCCGAGTCTTCACCCGCTTTCCTATTCAAGCGACTTCACACCCTGAACGCTGTGATGCCACAGCACACAATCCCATTGTTGAAACTGGTAAGATAAAGTACAACAAAATAATATTTAGCCTGTCCTTGATTATTGTACCATTTGCGAACACTAGATTGGTCCCCTTTAAACTATCTCCAAGTTCTAGTTGGGTTTTTAAACGTACCTTGACAAAACAAATCGCATAGAAAGTTTTTGGTCATGTTTTCGTACACTTGTATGTACCACAGTGGTCGGGAAGAAGGAATGGATTAAGAAATAGAAACTTGTCAATCTTGCAACACTACTTCTTCCATCACTACCACTGCTTCTCAGTCGGCAGTCAGCTGCGGCTGTTGACAGACGGCGACACCTTGGTGTTAGTCCTCGAACTGCTGAGTAGGTGGGGAATACCTGAACAAACGAGCTTGTGAATTAAGGGGTACTCATTAGTCTGGCCGAATCTGTGTTTAAAATATGCACATTGTCATCATGTCGAGGAAGTGAGTGATATCCTCTAAGTGGTGAGCCGGATGAAGCGTACGGAGTACGATGTTGGTAAGCGGAGCATGTGTGCATCCCCTCCTAACTATTGAAATGGTAATCTGGCAAGCCTGAATAGAACTACAACATTGTGGCCCAAGTGTAACAAAAATTCGGTCTGACAGAAATGGCAAAAAAATTGAGATGATGACAACTGGGCCAGATCTAAGTAGAAAGACCAGTTTCTTGAGGAAACGTTGAAAACACAATAAAAAACAAATATTTAATAGAAAACCTTGGGTAAATTTTAATATCTGCTCATTTTGAGCACCAACAATCACCCTGAGCTCTCCGCAATTAGGCCAACCGGGTTTGATCGCGTCTTTGTACCGTACATAATTAACCTGATTAAGGAGAAATCCCGCGAATTTCAAATTTTTTATCGATATCCTCAGGGCGGACGCGACGGTCGTTCATCTTGCTTTCCTCATTAGAAACACATTATTTAAAACGTTTGATTGAACGTGCTCATTTATTCAGATCAAAAAAGGTCATTATGAGGAAAAGAACAAACGACAATACACTGAATCTATTGCCCTGAAAAGTAGTTACATGGAAAACATCTTCAAAACATGATTTGATACAGTACAAGCAAAAAATTGTTTTAATCAGGCAACTGCAACCGTCTGCAGACCAACGATGATTTCCGCAACATTTTCGTTGAAAGCGATCTTTGGAGAGCTGTCGCTAGCCTAAAATTGAGTTCAGTAATGTGTTGACGCTATAGCGACAAACAGAGGGTAAATCGCACTAAACCTGCTACAATTACACCCCAGGAGCGTGATATGGTAAAATCATTTTCGCTAAAACTTCGAACCTACGGTTACCGATCGTCCTCCAAATCAACAGAAATATGAAATTTTTGGCGCTGGCGCCAATTTGGCGCCATCTGGCGCCAGGTGACGCCACGACTGATTCCCACTAAATTCGCTGTAAACTTCTGTATAGGGGTTATTTGGGGTCCTGATTACGAATATGACATTCGTTTTTGTTGTTGGCGCTATTCGGCGCCTATTTCCTGCTCGTCTGCGCCCTCGCACTAATTAGATCGCAATCAGGACTAAGCCTTTGAATAGTGGAGGGCTCCAAAGTGAGTAGGCCACTCCCCTGTGGTCTAACACACTCCAACTTTTGCCACACGGTGCGTGGTTTACCCACTCCGGAGTTTCACTCCCCTCCCCTAAGCTTAGTCTTAGGCGCTATAGGTGAGAAAGCTTAGAAAAGCAGAAAATATGCGTTAAACAGCACGAATGTCAAAAACGAGTGTCATATTCGTGATCAGGGCCCTCGATAACCCCCATAGCAGAAGTTTCAGCGAAAATTATTTTTTGACCCATCTCGGCCCCCACTGGGGTTGTAATAGTGCAATAGTGCCGGTAAATCTCACGATTGACACATCTTTTTTTGGAACTAAGTCCAGAATTATTTTATTAAATAATTAAATTAGTTGTTTCGCATATCATCAAACTACTTGATTGTATTCAAAGTTTTTTAATTGCTTCTCATTCTGAGTAACGAGTTGTTTTTAAACTCCCTAATGTTTTTACTTTTTTCAAATGTTGATTAAAAGGGGTGGTGTCCAGCCGACATCATACCTGTTAATTCAAAGCTTGTTGAATCTTTGATGAGTCGATTTTACGTGCTCATTAAAGGCAACGATTACGATAAAGAGGAAGCTCATCGGGAAACCATGTGCGCCATATGAAGCAGTTAGATCGCGATCGCTCCATCGCTTGTCCGTCGCTTGCCAATCGCTCTTGGCGATTGGCAATTGCGCAATCGCTTGCAAAGTGCACAAGCGACGGGCAATGGCTCTGCTCGATCGATACCGCAGCCGACTGCATTGACTGGGGGCGGGGCCAATCGCCCGTCGCTTGTGCACTTTGCAAGCGATTGCGCAATCGCTTGCCAATCGCTCTGGCAGAGCGATTGCAAGCGATGGAGCGATCGCGATCGCTCCATCGCTTGGTCCGTCGCCGAGTGTGACGGCGGTCTTACTTGGCTGCAGGAGCGAGGTCTAGCGCTTTCACGACGAAAGGTGCGCTGGTTGCTGAGCAGGAGATCGGGACCCATTTCCCTCAGATTCGATCCACCAGTTTGGTGTGCGGAGTCAACTTGATCCCGCGGTAGTTGGAGCGTGCATCACGTCACCCTTCTGCTTGAAGATG